CTAGCGACTCACCCTCGCTTCGCTCGGGTTCGTCCATAGCTTACTTCCCCATACTAACTTTCATCCCCATTTCATTCTCATCCACTTAAGGGATGATTTCCGGGATAAAAACTATTTCACTCACTCACTTCTCATATCATGAGATTTAAAAAAATCTTTACTAAAAAAAAATAAAAAAATATTTTAATTTTCTTCTATACAAAACTTCCTTACAAATAACAAACACAAAAAAAAAGTTAAACGCGTATATACATTTCGGCGATTCATTTTTATTTATATAGATAGTGGAACCAATTGGATTTATGTTAGTTACTGAAGCGTAAGGCGGGCGTAAGCCCTGTTGAAAAACTTTATTTATTGGTTTCTATGTGGCTTTTATCGCTTTTGATGGGATCCTATTGGAGTTTTTAAAGAGGGAGGAACTAGTGAGGGCGAATATCTAGTCGTATTTCTAATATAAACTGGGAAAGTTTGTAATGTATGTATTTTTGTTTTTTTACTCCTTCACGCTAAAAGGGCTGGACGGATTTGAATGAAATTAATGCACAGATTATCTGTGACAGATAAGACTACGTCCTTCAGTAACACATCGGTTAATGTTATTGTTACGCACCTAGGAAAGGAAAGCTCCACTCCAACGTGAGTTCCTTTCTTATTTCCTAACCTTGTCGTGGTGGGTAGGAGCTCATTAGCGTCCGGCAATCCAACTGGACGCGAAGCCAGGAAACGCACAGGGAGATGGCCCACTTTGGTGGGCAGTGTACTATGCGGATTGCTCCTGGTACTTCTCTGATTGCAGAGTGGACCGTTGAAGCAATACCACGGTTGTCGCGGTCTGCTTCGGCAGACCTGCCGTCGGGGCGTCGTGGTCGAGTACGTAGGCGATCCTGACGCGCCCCATTAAGACGGGGGAGGTTTTGTTGGGTTTTAATGGTTAGTACTGGCTTTTCTAGCCGGTGAGTCCCATATAACCACTTGTATGTTAACAGGTGGTATGGGTAAATGCTTTTCCCAACATAAAAAAATGGAAGGATAACTCGCTAGTTGTATATACATATATACGCTACTGATATCACGTAAACAGTTCAATCACGGCTCGCGCGAACAGTTACGTGCGATTATGACACATTCTTAGGAATCCACACAAAAAGTTATTAAACCTTCCCAGAAACGATATCTTTCCCTATTGTTGAACACCCATTGTCCCATATCTGTTGCACAATGTCACTATGTACGATAAAGCTGAAAATATACAAAACAAAGCAAATAGAACTTTATACCGTCATTTATAAACGTTATTTTAGTTCGGTTAGATTGTTTAGTTATATGTAATTGGGGCAGACTGTACCGCATTGTTCGATGATAATAATGCATTTCGGTATTTCCTGCGAGATAATGTATTATTATCATGGTATCTCAAATAGAAAAAAATAAAAAAATCAACTTCCGAATGGTTGATAATACCACAGATCATACAATACATACCATAATATTATACTACATATGTAGTGTTTTTACGAGAGAATTGCTTTTAATTGCAAGTGCCTAGTGCCTAGTATGATGTGCAAAACAGCGTGCATGTTTTAGGTAGTTTATAAGATCTGTTATAATATTTACCTCCTTTGAGGTACTTTCTCATTTTGCATTTTTTTGGTTCCCGACGTTCCAATGCTTTACAGCAAACGTTGTCACGCGAGAGACCGATCTCTTAGTAAAATAACCTGGTCAAAGCTGATCATCATCATCTCCTTGCCCATATCCCAATCACTTGGGGTCTGCACAGTATATCTTTTTTTTTAGCAAAAGTTTTACGACCGGCCGCCTGTCTGACATCAACCCTCCTCGGGAATGCTATTGTTTATCGCGGAAGTCTTAGTGAAAGTAAACAAAACAAAATACAAAAATATATAAAATAATTCAAGTTTAACTATTTCATACATTTTTGTATTTTAATTTGTTCACATTTATTATTTATTTTTTCATTTTTAAGCCCCAACGCAAAAAGAGGGGTGTTTGACGTCGATGTCTGTCTGTGTGTGTGTGTGTGTCTGTGGCATCGTAACTCTCAAACGGATGGACCGATTTAGATGCGGTTTTTTTCATAGAAAGCCAGTTTCCTTCCGGTGGTTCTAAGCTATGTTCGGTTAAAATCGGTCCAGCAGTGTAAGAGTATCAGCTCTTTACCAAAATCATGTAAGACATTTCGGCGTATGATTACTCGATAAGTGCTTCACGCGTGCCAGTATAATCGTTAAATGACAATTAATTTGGGTAGGACGTTTATTAATTTATAATTTCAAATTAATTCAAAATTATTTTTGTATTTTATTTTATTCTATTCAAAATTCAAATCGATGTAATTTGGAGGGCAAAATAATTGAAATTGACTAAAATGAAATACACAAAGAAATAATTAGTCATATCAAATGCGAATACAGAACTGACCTCAAGAAAATTAAATAATAATTATGAGGTAAGTCGAATATGTCCATACATTTGTTATATTTTAGTAAACAATACATTGTATGTTACTAAGGAAAGAGGATTACTTAAGATTATAATTATTTACATTGTTAATAATAACTTGGACTTGGTCCTGTTTGTATATTATGTACTGTCAACAAAAATATTTCCCATACAAATATTTATTATAATAAAAATATTTACTCACCAGTGAGTGACACTTTATATTATAATTAATATTAATAGTTTTTATGTTTAGTATAGATTTCTCAGAGATGAGATATTTTCCTGCTGTAAAACATATCTTATGTGTTGACCCGGATAACCAGCTAACATCATACCAAATTTCATCAAAATCTGTCCAGTGGTTTTATTGTGATGCTTTCCTATACAGACAGAAAGACAAAAATTCTAAAAACTATAGATTCAGCCTCTGTATTGATAATAATTACTATTTCAACAAGATTTTCCAAAAAATATTTCATGTACAGGTTCAACTCTGTTAGAATTTTATTATATGTATAGATTACTGATTAACAAATGCAATTGTTTTAGATTTAAGGTTTTTTTTTAATTATTTTGTTATAATACTTTTGATATATTATATGTTTATAGAATTCAGGAAATAAGTACTCTACATACAATTACCTTAATTTACACAGTTCACTTAACTGGCTTCAAACACACTATATTTTATGCAATAATACAAACTGATTTCTTACAATAAAGCAACAAATATTACTTTTGCAATTCTAACATTCTGAGAAGAAGTTATAGTGTAAATGAATAACAAGTTTTTTTTTTCTTCATAAAATTAAAAAGCAAAGAAACCAATAATAACTAGGGTGCAAATATTATCAATTTGATACCACATAAAGAGATAAGATAAAAGAGCATATCTTAAATATTTGTATATTTATGTAATTCAGGTACAATACTTTTAATTTCTTAGTGCGCTTCCATTTAATTTAGAAATGTTATATATTATGAAAATTTAGGATTAAATTAAAGAAATTTAAAATTATAACAGAGCATATTTGTTTATGTATGAGTTAAACTTTGATTAAATAAAAGCATTAAAATAAAAATTCATAAATACATTGGTACTAGAAGAATAAGTCAATAAAAAGTGGATCTTAAGCTTCTTACGGCACCACAATTTGAAGGCGGATTTGTATAGATCTCTACGCAATAAGACGAAAAGTAAGAATAAAATTATTCGATATCTCGCTTAGTTTTCGAGATATCAATACTCAAAAATAGAAAAACAATAAACAATTTATACTTTTATTGACGAAATTCAATTAAGTTAAACAGTCAAAATAACTTAAATTATAATTTCACTAGTGAAATTGTAATTACCCAGAGTATTGTCAATAATTTCCTTTTCTTATAATATCACGAGACCTTTTTAGCTGGTATATTACAGTCTTGCCAATAATAGTCATAGAAATATATATCTTGAAAATTATAAAACAGTCATTTATAGTTATATTAAAGTACATTGCAACAGCTACTAGAATATTTAAATTCATTTTTGCTTCTTGAGTGTTAATTTTTAAATGTTTAACATAAAATAAATAATTTTGAATGTTTGTCTATTACTATAAGTTAACAATATAATTATTTGTTACTTATTTGCACCTGCCTTTAGATATTCATCATTGTGACACTCTAGAGTTTAGGCGAAGTAAGAAATATATTTATAGACTAGTCGATGAATGGATTAAAATAATATTATTATTTTGTTACTAGAAGCACATTTACATTTGTACTAGCGGACCCGACAGACGTTGTCCTGTCTACACATCTTTAATTTGAAAATTTCAAACTTTTTTTAATAATTTTTTTGATGAAAATTATTATTCAAATTGTGAATCTAAACCATTCCCAGATCCCCTTGAACACACACAAAAAATTTCATCAAAATTGGTCCAGTCGTTTAGGAGGAGTTCAGTCACATACACACGCACACAAGAAATATATATATTAAGATTACGAAAGCAATGTTTGTATTTAAAAAAAATTTTTTTTAAAAGAAAATGTTTACTTACTTACTATAAAAAATAATTAAAGCTCTCAAGTTTAGTTAGTGTAAACTGATTAAGATTTATATGGCATTTATATTATATCCTAGTTCTAAACTGAAATTTAAACTATATCTTTGTGAAGAATGGTTAATCTTTAAATTATGACATATTTCTAATTAAGTTCAAGTTTGAATTAATATTTTTACAATAGTTTATGATCCTATAAAAGATAAGAAAGTAACATTTATTTTTGTAAAATATATTAGAAATTGCCAAATTATAATTATTTTTTAAATCTGTAACTACACTATTATTGACGAAATATCCAATTTTGGATTTAATTTAAATAATTAATATAAAATATATTAAATTTTCACAATAAGGAAAGTATTTTTGGAAAATAACCAGTTTGTAATTTCGATTAATAGTTGGCTTAGTCATCTTTTAAATTGACATCTCACTTGAAAAACTGGATTTAACAATAAGTTTTATATGGAAAAGACTCACCTTGTTATGAGGCAAGACTATGAAGGCGCCTCCACCTGCCGATTCGACGATTATAGCCAGAAACTTAGGGTTCACTGCACAAAATGTAGAGTCCCACGAACTCTTCGATACTCTGATGTTATCATAACACTGTTCCCTTTTCAGGGCTTGCCCATAAACGTGGCGGAATTTAGAACTACGAACCACTCTAAACGACATCTGTAAACCAAAATACGCGCATTTATAAACAATACAATACACACTGTGTTTTATACGAATAATTTCACTTAAAACATAACCTATACGCCAATACTTGTCTGACCTATATTGACATTAGCTATAACGATTAACAAATTTTAACTCACGTTTAAATATAAGAAGAAATTATAATATTTACACTAAATATATCAATGAAATCATTTGAATATTACTGAGTGATTTATAGAAATTAAAATTGAGAGCTGCTAAGGTTCGAAGGGAGGACGGTTGGGAAAACGAGCGAACTCCATATTTGGTAATGCCTACAGCGACTGCATTTACTGATTATAAATTACTGGAGATAAGGCGATTTAGCCCCTATGGATGAGACAAATATTTTAGAATATTATTTTATATTTATAACAATGTTTAATAGAAGAATACTAACATTTATCTATTTAAATTTTAAACACTACGTGAAAAATACTTTCATATTTCTGAACGCATGACAAAAATGTCAAATGTATGCAAATTATGATGCGTTCACATTTTGTACAATACAAAATTATTAATTATTGGTAACTGAAAAAAAAAACTTACTTTTGGTGCCAGTCGAGTTTCTGCTGTTTTATCTGAACCTTGAGCATGATAGCTATGACAACGCTCCCTTCCTACCCTCTTAGCAATTGGTGCCCGTTTAATTTTAGGGCTTGTTAAACTGTTATGTCTTTTAATGTCCTAGAAGTTATTAAAGAATTATTAATATTGTTGTATTTATTTATTAAAGGTATCATTCCATTTACCTCGTAAAATTAATTTAAAATGACTACTTAATATATTTAGGTACTTATTGTTCTTACCGTGATATCAATATCCATTTTAATTATATTTGGCTTACAATTATTATCTATAATATCCATAGTAGTAAATATAAAGAAAAAACAAAAATAGAATTTATCGTGTACGATTTAGCAACCTTTGAATTTCTAACGAGGAAATAACTATGATTTTTTAAAATTAAATTCTTACCTCCCATAATCCGTGATTTTTTTGACGCAACAATTTATATTTCTACCCTGATAAAAAATGTGATTGTGTAAAATATAGTATATGCTAACAAAATATAATCTATTATACCTATTTTACATATAATAGGTTTTTTCTATAAATATTGTTTAATTTTATCATGAGTAAAATATGATTAAATAATAAAAATATTTCAATATCAATAGATATTGAAATATAATATGTTTTAATGATTTTTTTGTAATACATTAAAATATGACGTAAAATAAATTATCCTTTCATTATCCATATCGAGAAAATATGAAACTCCAGCTACGATTTTTAAATTTTAAATTTCATGTAACTTTTCTTTTTATTTTACCTATATTGATTTGATATTGACAATAGGGAATTTCTTTTGAAAGGAGGGCGCTACACGTATAATCTATTTATATTCAGTCCGAGGTAAGTAGGTAAAATCTATTGGTTTTAAATACAAAAAATGTAAATCAAACAGAAAAGCTTTAATTGAAAATACTAATATTTGTATTAAAAGGGAAAAATATTTAAAAGTTATTATGGACAACCGTAACTTACCCGAAGACTTGCAAAAAGAAATTATATATGTAGATGAAAGTTATATTCACTCATCATACAAATTAAAAAAATGTTGGCAATCTATTGAAACCGAAGGAGTTATTCAAGATATTTCAAAAGGGAAAAGATGGATTCTCATCAATGCAGGAAGTGAAAAGGGGTTTGTACCGAACTCTCTTCTAATTTTTAGTGGAAATAACAAACAGGAAGACTATCATTCAGAAATGAATAGAACAAACTTTAGTAAGTGGGTAACCAAAAAGCTCATTCCAAATCTTGAATATCCTTCTATTATTGTAATGGACAATGCCCCATATCACTCGATTGTGAAAAATAAGGCTCCCACAACATCCAGCACGATTGCCGAAATTAAATTATGGCTCGAAGAGAATAATAATCATTTTGATCCGACCCTACGAAAACCCATGCTTTATGATTTGGTGAAAAAAAATAAACCAGAACCAGTTTATGAAATTGACGAGTTACTGAGCGAGCATGGACATACAGTAGTAAGGCTGCCACTCTATCACTGCGACCTGAATCCAATTGAACTTATATGGTCTTTGGCAAAAAGAAAAGTGGCAGCACAAAATGTTGGATCCAGAGATATAAAACAATTAACTGAAGAGGCCTTTGCTTCTATAACTTCAGCAGATTGGAAATCATGTTGTGACCATGTCAAAAAAATTGAAATGGAGTACATTGAAAGAGGCCCAACGCTGTATCAAAATATAGAAAAATTAATTATAAGAGTTGGTGAGGATACCAGCAGCAGTAGCAGTGAGTCTGAACCAGAATCAGAAGGTCTGCCTAGTACTTCTCGCCAAGATTCTCCTGGGGCAATAGATGACAACATGTCTGGTGTCGAATATTTAGATTTTGATATGTTGGACGACTAATTTTATAAATAAATATTTTATTAATAACACTTAACTCTTGTTTTATTATTTCACTATTTATGCCTTCTAGTAGTTCGCCACGTAGTTCTCGTCTCCGTGTAAATACAGAGAGAAGATTAATGTAGCTTATAAATTATTCCAGGTAATAATCTATTCATGTGCCACGTTTCATCCAAATCCGTTCAGTAGTTTTTGCGTGAATGAGTAATAAACATACATGCGTCTATTCATCCTCACAATCATTCGCATTTAAAATAATATGTATTAGTAGAATATCACAAGTTGTGAAGTAAAGTGGTTATATGAAATACAAAGTTAGATTAGAATCATTAATAATAATAATAATAATGAACACTTTATTGCACACCACACAAGAAAATAAATAAAGAAGTGAAATACATAACAATAAAAAGATGCACAGCAGGCGGCCTTATCGCTAGAAGCGATCTCTTCCAGGCAACCTTAGGGTAGAGGAATCAGTATATAAAAATGGTAGGCGGTGTACTTGTATAAATACATACTTATACACATACATATATACATACATACATAAATACATACATACACAAATACATACATACATTACCAAATATTAATGCCAATAATACAATAAATAATTAGCAAGTATCAAAACCAGTTATTATATATTATTGGGGAGACCAGTTAAACGACAGTGGCGCCCTCATTTTTTGTCTACTCTTTTTAGACGGACTAAAAAGCAATTTATTATGATATCTTTTTTGTAGCTGTTTTATTTGCTTCTATTGTGTCGCATCTTACTTGTGCAATGTAATGTATGATGGATGGATGTGTCGTAAAAACGTGAAATTTAGATAATGTATTCCTTATACGATGTAGGCTTTCGATAAGAAAGGATTTTTCGAAATCCATCTCCTAAGTGGTAAAATAAGGGATTAAAGATTGTATGAAACTTTGTCTTTTTTTTAATGCGTATTGATTTTTTTTCGAAATTCATCTCATATAAAGGTAATAAAGTTTATATGGGCAAAGAATTATATATGATCAGAATTACTTGAAACTTGGTATTAATGCTCTTAAATACAATAAAATAAATACGAGTTTTAGCAATTTTCGAAATTCAATCCCATAAGGGGGTAAAATGGGGGCTAAAAGTTAAAGCTCTGTAATTAATATGTAAAAAAATACGAAATATGAAAAAAATGTTCACCATGTAGATGACTTAAGAGTTTTAAAATTACTTTCTGCAAAATGATGTCCACATGGTCTTAAATATAAAAATTGTTATTTCACCAATTTTGGTCGTCTTATGGCTTTCGCCCACAATTTCTTCGGTTTTTGTCTTTTAGCAATAAATGATATCTTTTTATATATATTTAAATATATAGATTAATTACATTTTAAACAAAATGAAAAAAAAATAGCCTTTACAATATATTGATTACTAGCAACTCACCCTTGCTTCGCTCGGGTTCGTCTCTAGGTTGACCTCATACAAACTTTCATCCCCATTTTCACCTCTTTAAGGAATGATTTCTGTGATAAAAAGTATCTTATCTATCTTATCCCAGGATCTCAAACTATCTTTTCACCAAATTTTATCTTAATCGGTTCAGTATATCCAGAGATATATCCCTATTTTATAATATTAGTGTAGATTATAGTGATCGCGGCATCTGGCGGGAAAAAGGAAAAATTGTTCCCCATTGACATCATGGATGACAAATAAAAATTGACATTAACATCTGTCAACTTGTCACTTTTTTTCACTGCAGTGTGTGTATGTGATCGCTCTTGAAACTATTTCCGGCAATAATATTTATTTGTAACTATTTTAGCATAATTACTTATATTTTCCGGCCTTTATAATGTTTTAAACATTCCAGTTAAGTAGAGTTTTTTCGACAATGGAACTTACGATTTCAAAGGTAATTTGATATGGTGTTTAAAAATTTTATTCGAATTGTACGCATTTTAATACATACGAAAAAACTTATTGACATAAGGTATTTTTATTTATGACAAGATTTTATATTTTCATATTACGTACATATATTTTAAATGTTACTTGTTTATATTAACAATCATTTTATGAATGCAGTATTATATGCTAATCTTTTCAACTTCTTTTGAACATATTTTAATTTGCATTAAATCTGTATTACAATTATATACATATTCTTCCAATCTATAAATTTGGAAGTTTTATATTTATTGTATAATCTTACTAAATAAGTTCCCTTCTCTATATGTACTTTGAATATTTTAATGAAACAAAATATTGAATGAATCACATTGCAAGTCTTTGTATGCAGTTAATTATCATATATAATGACATACATGTGACATTTGTTATGCATTTTTTAAGATATGAATTTATGTAACAGAAATTACAATCTTAGGTTAACAATTTTTTTATGTTATTAACTTATTTTGACCAATACTAGTAATTAAAAAAAAATATTATTATAAATGTTAAGTTACTATCAATATTCATGAATTTCTGAAATGTAAAATTTTGCAAATAAAGTATTATGTAATAAACATTTCATAACTAAAGTAGTGGGTGAGTCATTTTAAAATTCAACTAAATGTTTTACTTTAATCAATATTATCTTTTTAAAAACATCTGTGTTTGAGTTATTTTAATAAATTCACTTTTGTTTTAATGGAATAGGTGAATATCATGTGGACCATTTATTTATTACATTTATTATTATTTGTTCTAGGGTCACCACCATCGAAAGGTGATATGTGTACTGGCTGCTTGTAATGCGGGTGCACTAGCTATGGCACTCAATTTAGTTGTAGGGCTGAATCCAGAAGACAAGTTAGTTCTATTTTATTTATTTAATAATAATTGGTAATTCTTGAAAAAAAAAATTATCTGCAGACAATTAAAAAACATGCTACCTATTTAACTTTGCTCAAGTTAGTAGTGTATTACATAGTAACCAAGCCATCTTATTTATCAAAATTGTCTTTTAAGTAACTAAGCTAAAGAATATAAATTTTATATTAACTTTAAATTTATTTTTAACTTGTGTAAATGATGTTATTATCATGCATTATTACAATATTCATAAATGAAAACAAAAACACGTAATAATTACTTTTTGACAAAAAAAGACCGCCTCCAATGTCGCCTTCAAAGATTATTATAATTATTCCTTTCGGGTGGTGTTTTTCATTCAAATTATTACATCACTATCTATTGATTATGATGAAGATGTTCTTCTGACCGATTTCGCTTGCGGCGGCCTATCTTACTGAGAGTAGCCATCTGACCAGGAGATATTGACACAAAATCACTCACGATAACTGTTAACTCTCGAGGTCCGATACTTCGTGCTCTCGTAGGCACAATTGTGTAACACCGCCAACTTCCCAACTCCCGCTCTTACTGAGAATTCCTTATAGAAAAACTCAATAACTAAACTTGACCCGACCCGGAACTCGAACCGAGGACTTGATCTGCGGCCGTATATGTTAGCCACTAGACCACCGAGGCAGGTTTTAGGTACATCAAGTATGGGCTCATATAAATGAAAAAAAAAATAGTTAATATTTATTATTTAGTGTTTACGTTGTAAGATAACGTTGTAGTACAAGATACAAAATAGTATTTAAGTGAAGATGATAAAAATAAGAGGTAATTTATCAAATTACTTGCAAATTTACGAGTACGTGAATGTAGTCTACATCAAAGCAATATTTGGCGATGACACTAGCCTTCAGACACATTCCAAACCGGCGACCAAACTTTATGAGTGTGAATGTAACTTCAGGCATTTTCTCAAATATCGATTTTTGAAATATCGGCCAGCAAAGTTACAACAATGTGTAGCCTTCAGAGTAACTCGCCAGGCGGGAAATTGGGGCCGAATTCGATGTGTAATATGTCAGCCAAGTTTGAGAAGTTCTACTTCTATATTTTAAAATTATGATATTTTTTTGTTTGATCGCGCCAATTATTCTCTGAAACATAATTTTTTTTACATTTTAATGCATACTTATTAACAAAAACTAAAAGCTATTATTAAGGTATCATGTTAGGCAGCTGAATAAATAACTAAACTGCACGAGCAGAGTCGCGGGCAGCGTCTAGTATACATATATCTTCATAATTCATATATCATCCAATACAGCGAATAAGTAAGTCTCAAGAGCGTGACCTTAGAGCATCTGGCGCGTTAATCGACAAAATGTTTATACAGGTTTATGGGACGAGATAAACGCATTGATAAATTCATTGTTTGCATAAGCGATAATTTAGTTAAATTTTTTTTTATAAAATGCATAAGATAATGTGATAATTTGACGACACGTTTGGCTCAGTTTTTAGTGATTGTACTTATTGTACCAGCGGTCGGGGGTTCGAGTCCCGCCGGTGGCATTCATTTGTGTGATGAGCATGAATGTTTGTACTCCAGTCATGGGTGTTTATATTTATTTATAATATGTATGTATTTAAAGTTATATATATGTATTGTATCAACTATCCGGTATCCATAACACGAGCCTCGTAGCTTAATGTGGAAATAGATGGTGCTGTGTGTTAGTGTCCCAAGAAAAAAAAACGGCATGTCAAAAAATAAACGTGCTATGAGTATTAATTCTTAAATTTTGATTATACTAGCAAGTACGAGTAGTGCTTGTATGGAAAATATAATACGTATGATGTACAATTTTTTTGTTTCACCTGCATACATACAGGTTACATGTGGGATTCACTACCTAGATAAGTCTGTAGGTACTACCCAAAACCATCCCCGTCTTAATGAGGTGTCGCAGGCCCACTTATGCTTACAACCACGACTCGACTCCGACGGCTCACTTTTTTCAGAACATTTTAATATATAATTTTAGCCCAAAGTCCAAATAAAATGCCTGCGCCTTGAGATATAACGAATACAAGTACGCAATAGCTTCCTTTTAGTATCTAAATATATTATGTTAGTATGAGTTTAACACTTGTTTACAATGTGGAGGTCATTACATACATAAGAGTTAATAGAAATTTAAGTACTGACGGCCAGAGCCGCTAACAGAAAGTTTTTCATATTGTAACTAGCATTGCCCGTGGCTCCGCCCGCGTTCAGATGACCAAAAACCAAATTCTTAGGTTTTACGTATTAGTATACTCTTAAATTGCAGTTTTTATACTTTTTCTCATAAATGAGACATTTTCCCGCGCTAAAAAGTATCCTATATGTTGACCCGGATAACAAGCTATCACCATACGAAGTTTCATCAAAATCCCTCCAGTGGTTTTTCTGTGATGCGGTAACAGACAGACAGACAGACAAAAATTCTAAAAACTATAGATTTGGCTCTGTATCGATAATAATGTTTATTTCAATAAAATTTTCCAAAAAGTATTTAATCTACAGATTCGGCTTAGTTACAATTTTATTATATGTAAAGACTGGCGACTCACCCTCGCTTCGCTCGGGTCCGTCCCTAGCGTACTTCCCCTTATAAACTTTCATCCCCATTCTCACCCCCCTTAAGGGATGATTTCCGGGATAAAAACTCTTTCATCACTCACTCTCTATCTATTTCATCACTCACTCACTTTTCATATCATGAGATTTAAAAAAAATCTTGTTTTACTAAAAAAAATGTTTTCTTTTAAAAAAAACGAAAATTTTGACGGTTGACCTTAATTTTCTTCTATACAAAACTTCCTGAAAATAAACAAACACAAAAGAAAAGCAATTATCCATTTTGGTGCAATCGATCCAAAGTTATGCGCGTACATACATACATTTCGGTGATTCATTTTTATTTATATGGATAATGCAAATAGAAATTAACTGAAGCAAGGTTTCCTTCATTTTCAAATTATTCACAAACAACGTAAAACATTCGTGATTCAAGTCGATTTCCAGTTCTAATTAAAACTTACGTAACATGATGATTCTTTTGATTGCTTGTGTAAGTTATGTAATAGATCTCCGCTAGAGGCAATTCACTAACATGGCTATTGTTAGAAAAGATACGTATAGGGAATCTGTAATTAGTTTGTATTATTAAGCCTTATTTTTATCTTTTATCGTCCCACTGCTGGGCACGAGTCTCCCTTCAATACGAGGGCGATCAGGCCATACTCCACCACGTTGGCCGAGTGCGGGTTGGCGGACTTCACAAGTCTTTCGAAAACTTGCTGCGTTCTCTCAGACATGCAGGTTTCCTCACGATGTTTTCCTTCACCGTAAGACATGTTGGAAATGATACGCACGTATATGCAAATATCGGAGGTACGAGACCCGGGATTTGAACCCGCTTTACTCGATTTTCCAAGCGAGCGTACGTAATTAATTTAACTCGATCAGTGCTTTAAATATTATGTTTACCATCGACTTACTCTCATTCCTCCTGAGTGCCTTTTGGAAAATATTCTCTGTGTGAAATCTGTGTAATAAATTAAATCCAAATCTGTTCAGCAGTTTCAGCGTGTAGGAGTAACAAACATATATACATATAAAGTATCGTATTTATTATAGTGGTGTGATGGTGATGATATATTAGATAATGACATTATTAAATTTTCATACTAATTACACTCGACAGAAAGTCGAAACAATCAGGGCAGTGTCCTGATTTCTTAATGTATATCTACAGTATGTAAGATATTATGTGCATTGGGCATAAAATTCTTCGAGGCTCTCCCGTAACGATGATTGCTGTACAGGATTCGAAGCGTCGGGAACTAAAAATCAAAATAAATCCGCTAAAAAATCCGAAAAGATAGTTTTATTTGAAACTTTTTCGAATTGATATCTTGTTTATGAATGGAGGTTTCACTACAGCGGTTATTGGAAGGGGTCATGTACTACACGTTTATCATACACGATGTGATAACTGATCAATTGTAATGTAATATCACAATCTATTGTTATCAAGGTGACAGCAAGGACAATGTCGGTTATTTTATAAGGTTAAAATAATCGCGTAGGTACTTCGTTCGAAATAAGTTATTATTTATTAAATAAAAATGTTTTAGTGTTACCATATTTTCGAAAATGGATTCTGATGAATTATTTCGTTTAATTTATTACAATTAAATATTGTCAGGAAATCGTAAACGCAAAAATAACTAGAGTTATTTGAAAGAATTTAAAATTATTTATTTTATTCTGAGAGGCTTTTAGTTAGTGTTAAAGAATTAATGAGATTTTAATAGATTTGTCAGGTTTTGTTAACATCTGTACAGATTAAACAACTTATGACATCATTCTTGTATTATTTCATAACATTATATAACTAGCGAGATGGTGAGTTTGTAAGGTTTTAGGGGGTAATCTCTGGATGTACTGAACCGATTCAGATGAAATTCGGGAAGAAGATAGTTTGAGGCTAGAGATAGCCCAAAAAATATTTAATGTACAGATTCGGCTTAGTTACAATTTTATTATCATATATAGATTATCTCAGAAAAATGCCGATGAGTCGATACGCGACGCGAGTAGGTTTTTTAAAAAATGCTGTCTGTTTCACGCCGCTCGTTTTGCCATAGAGATATGATATGACGCGAGAGAGTTGCAAATCGCAAGAGAGAGAGAGAGAGAGAGAGTTGCAACGCAATTACTTACATTTCCTGTTTGAAATATTGATGATGATTTGAATTTACGAAATGAGACAATTTTGGTCTCATTAGATTCAGTACACCTTAATCTAGGTTTGTCCTTTTTTTAGTACCTAATTCATTTTAGTTTGAATAAAAACAAAACGCTCTAGGCAGTGAAAAATACAGATATTTAGATGCTAATAATTTCTATCGTACCTACGCAAATTTTCTTTAAAATAAAAACGTACGGATCTAGTTTTTCATTATATCTACATTTCCAAAAATTATGAAATTTAGACTATGTTAATGAGAGGAAAAACGTTTATGGCTTTTTGTATGAAAATTTACAACTTCACAATCCTTTTCAACCGACTTCCTCAAAAAGGAGGAGATTCTCAATTCGGCTGTATTTTTTTTAATAATTTCGAAGTCGGTGCCAGCCGATACAAAGCAAAGCACACCGACTTCGAAAATATTTGATTAGTTATGTATAGTAAATGGAAACTACCAATCAGTTATTTTTTTAATTTTTAGTGCTTTTGTTTGAAGTCTGTTTTTATTTTTTTGTTAAAAAGTTTTTATTTTTTAATATATGTAATTGTTTAAAGAGGATAATTGCTATTGTTTAATATATTACGTATTGGCCTCATTACATATGTAGTATTTATGTATGTAGGTATTTCCAACGTTTATCTTTTTTTTGACCTCAATGTTATACGCGTAACGCTTGTTGCGCCTTGTAGTTTAGATGGACATGTAAATGTTAAATTTAACAACACCAACTTACTACTTTAAATGATATTTGAAACTTCTTATGAATTTTTATTATTACACTAGCACAACCCGCGGCTTCGCTCGCGCTAAAACTACAAAAAAAAATCTTTGGCTTTATGCTATTAGTAATGATATATGGATGTCAGGCAAACAAACAAACTCTGCCTCTTTAAGCTTTATAACAGTATAGATATGGGATTTATCCCCGCTTTGAATAATCACTAAAATTCTAAAAATATATTTTCATCATTTCATTGTAGGTACATAACTTTTCTATACATTTAAATTTCTATATTATTAAACTAGCATAGCCCGCGGCTCCGCCCGCGTTCAGATGACCAAAAATAAATTCTTAGGTTTTACATATTAGTATACTCTTATATTGCAGTTTTTGCATTTTTTCTCAGAAATGAGATATTTTCCCGCGTAAAAAGTATCCTATATGTTGACCCGGATAACCAGCTATCACCATACTAAATTTCATCAAAATCCCTCCAGTCGTTTTTCTGTGATGCGGTAACAGACAGACAGACAGACAGACAAAAATTCTAAAAACTATAGATTAGGCCTCTGTATCGATAATAATTAATAATGTTTACTTCAATAAGACTTTCCAAAAAATATTTAATGTACAGATTCGGCTTAGTTACAATTTTATTATATGTAATAGACTACATTAAAAAGTTTATTAAGGTTAAACCTCAAGCCTCGTACATTTTATGGATGATATAAAACGTGTGTGATCCCTTGTAGAGAGAGCCAAATCTGCCATTTTATTGTGATCGAATAAATAATTCAACAATTTTCCCATAAAATTGAATATTTACCTAATTAATAACCAATATTTTATGCATTTTTTACCAATATTTTTGCCTTGCGGTGAAAGAAAACATCGAGGGGACACTTGCATGTCTGAGAGAACCTAGCAAGTTTTCTTAAGACATGTAAAGTCCGCCAGCACTTGGCCAGCGTAGTGGCCCGTGCCCAGCAGTGGGATATTAAAAAGGGCTGACTAAATTTTATACATCTATGTTTTATAAAAAAATATCGTGACTTGCCATGACTATTTGACGACACGTTTGGCTCAGTTGGTAGTGACCCTACTTGATGTGCCAGCGGTCGCGGGTTCGAGTCCCGCTGGGGGCATTCATTTGTGTGATAAGCACGAATGTTTGTACTCCAGTCATGGGTTTTTATATTTATAATATGTATGTATTTAAAGTTACATATATATGTGTAGTGTATCAACTATCTGGTATCCATAACACAAGCCTCGTAGCTTACCATGGAACTAGATGGCGCTGTGTGTTAATATCCCAACATTTATTATTATTATAAAATTTTTGTAGGTACGTATTACTTGATATTACTATAAAAGCAAACGAATTAAAATCTCTATGCATTGCTTAGTTCGTGTTGAAAGATTAGAAAGATTTGCAGGATACTCAATTTATCCTTCTATTTTTGGCAAAGATGACTTTAAAACAAAAAAGATAAAGAGTAAAATACTGTATTAACATAATTTTCAGTAAATATTTTGCGTATATCGCATCGGTAGAGCATGATCGTCTGTCTGCCTCAGGAAGCATTCTTCCTGTATAGCAATGGGTCTAGAATTTTAAATTGTTATATTTTTTTTTACTTTTTTGCATACATATTCAAATGAGCACAAAGTGATAAACTGAGTGAGTTACAATTTAGTTTCTAAATTCATTGTTGATAATTACATTTGCTATTTAGTAGGAATATATTTACGTATAGGTATGGTTGAATTGTTTTGTTATTTTCCTTAAAAATCCACCTCTAATTTTTACAGTTTTGGGTTTTATTGCTTCCGTTGCAAATATTATTTTTGGTCCAAGATATGTTGCGTAGTTTTAAAAATACGGGATATTTTAGGTGCCGCATTCTTGAAATTGGTTTTCACAGAAGCATATTGAGATACAAACTCATTTATCCTATCACAAAAATGAATATTTTCGATAGTTGAATATTATATTTCACTTTTTGCCCAATAAAAATGATGCTAAAACTTTCTTTTAATGTTAGATGCTACGGACCTCTCAATGGGTCAGTCAAACTCGAACTCGTCCGATATTCTGATACCTACTTTATTTATCCAATAAAACAAAGAGCAGAACATCGAATTAATACTAACCACTTACGTCTTTAATGGTCTTACAAACATTTTTTTTTTTAACGTTGGGAAATGCATTTACGCACGACGTGTGGGACTCACCGGCGTAATACAGCTAGTACTACCCACTAAAACCTAACAAAACCTTCCCCCGTCTTAATGGGGCGTCGCAGGATCGCTTACGCATTCAACTACGACGCCCCAATGGCAGGTCTGCCGAAATGGTCTTACAAACATGCTCTACAACTAAATTTCATCAAAATCAGACCAGCCGGTTTCAGCGTTAAAGAGTAACATACAAACTTTCGCATTTTTAATAGTAGTCCAATTTTTTTTCAGAATCTCAATCAAACGTGGGTCTATGCTAACGGCCTTAGGCCTGGTGTACTTCGCGACACTCTTCGAGCTAATCAATGTGGCAGCTCTGTTCACCGGGGCCGGGGCGCGGCTCAGGCACAAGTACAAACTTAGCTGTGGGGAAGTGTTGGACATATCAAATAAGTCAGTATATGCTACTAGCTTTTCCCGCGTAGATGATGATAATAATAATAAACTCTTTATTGTATAGCAAGAATATTAAAAATAAACTAGCATTGCACGCAGCTCCGCCCGCGTTCAGATGACAAAAAACCAAATTCTTAGGTTTTACATATTACTCGTAGTATACACTTACATTGCAGTTCTTGTATTTTTTTTAAAATGAGATATTTTCCGGCGGTAAAAAGTATCCTATATGTTGACCCGGATAACCAGCTATCACCACACCAAATGTCATCAAAATCCCTCCAGTGGTTTTTCTGTGATGCGGTAACAGACAGACAGACAGGCAGACAAAAATTCTAAAAACTATATATTCGGAAGCTGTATCGATAATAATGTCTATTTCAATAAAATTTTCCAAAAAATATTTAATGTACAGATTCGGCTTAGTTACAATTTTATTATATGTATAGATAAATACAGAAAAGATAGATAATGTCAAGAGGCGGCCTTATCGCTATAACAGCAATCTCTTCTAGGCAACCTTTAGGTGTAGGAAATAGCAAACTGTGAAAGGGAAGGGGTGCAAATAATAGAGTTATATCACTATACGTATAAAAAAAGTAGAATACAAAAAAATATTGAAGAGTGCGTGTATGAATGTGTACACGCGCAAGAAGTAAAACTTCTGTACGTTATCGGTACTCTTTATAGGTGTGATACTAAAAATAACGCATATTAGGTATATTACAATCATATATTTATAGAATATCATTTATCAAGAATATAATATTATATATCATTTGTCAGGCAATAACAACGGTTACCATGGCAACAAATGTATTTTTCGTAACGCATTCACCAGTTTACCATCCCAAAAATACATCTAATAATCCCTCCACGACCGCGGACACGCCGGCGTGACAGTTAACAATAGATTTCTTAGAAATTTAATTAATTTTTTAGAAATTTATCTGGAGATGATATTTTTTTTCAAAAACTGCTTTTTTTCTCGAAAATTTTTGAAATTTTTGTCTTTCATACAACAATTTTTATTTTTACGAAAAATAAATAAATAATAATCTTATAATGAAATATTCCCTAGGCTAGTATCGGCAGTGCAAGCAGCGTTCTCGTGCGTGACGGGCGCCATAGTGTGCGCGTGGTCGTGCACGCGCGACTTCATGCGCTCCTCGCACTTCATGTCCGAGGCGTACGCGTGGTTCGGTGCTGCGTACTTCTTCTACGACATCTGGTCTATGTACATGGTGAGTATTGGGTTTTAGAATTTTGTAAGGTTAATCGTAAGTTTGCTCATGGTGTTGTGATTATTTATAGGTATAACTGGTAAACTGCCCTCGTTTCACTCGAGTTCGATGCCTTTGTCTACATATTCTTTTATTGAAGGAGACGGCAGATAGAAAATGCGAGGCTAACGATCTAGCAGACCCTCTTCGTCGCCTTCGGTATGCGCATCTTCTTCCGCCATCCTACAGGAGCTACTGCTGGGAGGAGATGAAGGGTAGATCTCTCGTTGACTCCCCTGAATGACACATTTTCTAACAAATATCTCTTATAAAAAGTGGCGTCGAAATGTGACGTTAAATCAAATTGTCTAAATACAAATTCGTAACTTACGCACACCACATAAAGTACTTTTTTAAACGAAACAGCGTGCGTTTTAATTTTTTCATCCGAATCGTGCACTTCTTTTTGAAAACACTTTTGAGACACTAATTGTGTATTTGGAGTTTTTTTTATATCAATGTATAACACATACATAATATTATATTGTGTAAGTAAAATCGATGTTTTGTAATCAATGAGTCGTAACTCGTAATAAATTGTAAGCCACCTTTTTTTTTAACGTTGGGAAATGCATTTACGCACGAGGTGTGGGACTCACCGGCAAAGCCCGTACTACCCACTAAAACCCAACAAAACCTTCCCCCGTCTTAATGGGGCGTCGCAGGATCGCTTACGCATTCAACTACGACGCCCCGACGGCAGGTCTGCCGAAGCAGACCACAACAACCACGGGGTTGCTCCAAGGTCCACTCTGCTATCAGAGAAGTACCAGGAGCAACCCGCATGGTACACCGCCCTCCGAAGAGGGCCACCTCCCACCGCCCACCGAAGCGGGCCACCTCCCTGTGCGTTTCTTGGCTTCGCGCCCGGCTGTATTGCCGGGCACTACTGAGCCCCCCCACCACGACAAGGTGAACGCACGTTGGAGGGGAAATTGTAAGACACCTGCGCGTTTATATCACTAGTTTTAAGTTTATAATATTAGCCTGATTATTATTTAATTTTTAATATATTTATGATATGTATGCGTTTAAAGTTATATACTAGATGGTGCTGTGTGTTAAATGTCCCAAAATATTTATTAATTTATTATTTATAAATTTACAGGTATATGTACATATGACGACGAATGTAGACTACTTCAGGAGGAGATTCCGACTAGCCAGAACCGAAGCTCTTTCTTCGGGAGATAACGCGACGAATATAAAGAGACCTTCCTTCTTCGCGTACTGTCGCCACGAACCCGTCATCCTGATGCACCACCTGTTCATTGGCGGCTTCGGGTTTTTGGTTATTGTGGTATGGATGGTTTTATTTTTAAATTAATCTTAGAGTAATATTTACTTTCTTAGATTTATTGGATTAGTCAAAACGAACGAAAGATCCCGGGTTCGAGGCCTGGGTCGGGCCAAAATATTTAATGTATTTTTCTTAAGTAAATTAAGCTTAGAGTCTCCTTAATATGAAGATAAAAGCAATAGAATGCAAATTGTATCTGTGCACATGTGTGCGCATAATATATTATGGATGTGTAATGTATGGTCTAGTGGATAGCATGTACGGTTGCAGATCCGGAGGTCCTGGGTTAGACTCACGGGTCGGGTCAAGTTTAATTACTGAGTTTTTTGTTAAGATATTCTCAGTAGTAACCTGGGGTTGGGAAGTTGGTGGGTTTTTTCACTCCCGTGTACAAAGACGTCGTTTGATCTCTCACTGTTCGTGTCGAGTTTTTGTTTCACTAGTGGCCAGATTTTATTAGAGTGATAGGGATAGAGAGTGCACGTTGTGTCTGCACTATAATATCTCCTGCGCGGTTAGTCTCAGTGAGATTGGTATCTGTAATCAGGGCTACCGATAGAGACATTGCTGCCAGTAGAGCCAACTTATTTTATACCGCTGGGTTACTGAAATTATACCAAATCAAATTTTATTATACAAATTAACAAAACTGTTGAGAAATAGTTTGTGATGAATAAAAAAATAATAATAAAAATACGTGATAACTTAAAATGAAATATACATAAAATAATCATATTTTATAAGTTTCGTATCCAATTATACGGTCTGGTAGCCCTGTATGTAACAGATATTGATCAAAAGATCAATATCTGTTACGTGTTGTTGTCAGGTATTACTGGTATCCATATAAATATTATAAAGTTTGTGAGTATGTATGGACGTTTGTTACTCAATCACGCCAGAACGGCTGAACGGATTTAGGTGAAATTTGGCACAGAGATAGGTTATACTCTGGAATAACACAGGCTACTTTTTATCCCGGAAAAATGTACGATTCCCGTGGGATAGGTTTGTTTTTGTTTTCCTAGAGGCGAAACCCGAACGAAGCAATCGCGGACTTCTAGTTATGTAAATAAATGCATAAATGAATGAATAAATAAATGATGCGCGTGCGCAGTACCTGCGCGGCGGGCTCGGCGACTGCGTGTTCAGCTTCGTGTACCTGATGGAGCTGTCGACGCCGTGCGTGTCGCTGCGCGGCGTGCTGGCGCGCCTGCGCCGCAAGCGCTCGCGCCTCTACCGCGCCAACGGGCTCGCCATGCTGGCCGCCTTCGCGCTCTGCCGCGTGGCCGCGCTGCCCTACGTCTGCCTGCTCTACGCGCGCGCCGCCGACCTCTCCTACCTCCAGGTGCGCCGACAGAGATGAGATATTTTCCCGCCGTAAAAAGTATCCTATATGTTGACACGAACGACGACCAGCTATCGTCGTACCAAATTTGATCAAAATTTGTCCTGTGGTTTTCTCGCGACGCGTTCCCAGACAAACAGACAAAAATTGTAAAAACTAGATTCGGTTGCTGTACCGATAATAATAACTATTTCAATGAGATTTTCCAAAAATTATTTAATATACAGATTCAACTCACTTAGAATTTTATTATATGTATAGATGTGAAAGTGGTTTGTTTGTTTATTTGTTTGTCCTTCTTTCACGTCAAAACAGAGAGACGAATTGACGTGATTTTTTGTATAGAAATAGTTTTTAGATTATCTCATTCCCACGGGAAAACACGTTATAATAACGACCCACAACAACTCATACCTATTTACAATAGATATAGGGCACTCCACGCCAAATCGGACGGTTTCAAAAATGTTTATTTTTGATTTTCTTGATATTATGGTATTTTTTAGTTCTTCTCAATAGAGGCTTCCTGGAAATTTTGAAATTTTTTGTTCACATCGAATTTTCAAAAACAACCGCTCTTTTTTTGTTTTTTTTTGCTCGTAACTTTCTTAATAATGGTCGAAGTTCAATTTTTTTTTAATTTTTGTTTTTGGATGACATTTACATAGAAATTAAAAGTATATTTAAAATGTTTTAATCGAGACTTTTGGATTTTAAGTTTCCAATCGTGTTTTTAAAACTGTGTGTATGTATCCTTCGATTTTTTGAAAATATTCTATTTTATACTCCTATCCTTCATGCAATTTTTAAACCCAGTCCGGTAGCGGGCCTAACATAATTACAATTTTTTTTGATTTTTAAAATCTTTTTTTTCATTTTTAAAAATCGAATTTTATAAATTTTGAAACCGTCTGATTTTGCGTGAAATGCCCCACATATACATTATCTACCAGTTCGAGATTACTGCTCCGTTTCTATCTGCAATTATGTATATATTATGTTAGAATTCACATTGTTATAGGAATCTAGATTATTTTGCTATTGTGTTATCTGAATTGTTTAGTGCTCTCAACAATTTATTCACAAAAAAAATTCCCCTATCAATAAATCTCACATAAAATTAACGTATACCTTTCTGTTTCCAGGCAATAAAGTCACTACCACTAGGCTGCAAGATCTCCATCTCGATCCTACTCCTGCCCCAGTTCTACTGGTTCTACCTCATGTCCGTGGGTGCGGTGAAGGTCTTCCTCGGAACCACCTCCGAGGATAAGAAGGCGATGATCGAAAGCAGCTTGAAGGAGAAGACCAACCAGAGTGAGCTGGTCTCGGAGCTGTCCTCCGGAGACACAGACAAACGTAGTTGATGCAAGCGGAGACGGTATAAGAAACGATCTTAGTTTGACAACTGTTATATTGTATTTGTATTTAGAGTTTAATCGCATTTGAATTGATTGGGTTTTCTGAACTATATTATTTTTTTTATAATCGAAAGTTTTTTTTTTCATTTCATTTTTTTCAATTAATGCGTCAGATGATGGGTTTTATGGGACTTTAGTTACGGTTAGTTAGTTAGTTTTTGTCTATTTCCAGTGACTCGTCTGTAATTTTTTTTTTATGATTATGTATTTAAAATCTTTGGTTTAATTTTGTTTTCTTATTCGTTAATTTTATATTTCTTTTAATTTTATGTTATGACTGAATAATTAATTTTATTGCAATCTATCGCTATTGCAGTTTGCTTTTTCTTATTAGCTTTATTTGTTATCAGCTTTTACTATTTAGTTATTAAATTCTTAAATCGATTTTAATGCGATTTTTCTCTGCATTAAATACAAGTTTCGTAGTTATTATAATAGCTATTATAGATGTTATATTATTTCTTGTTATTTTCAGCAAAGCGTTAATATTCACTAACACATTAAAAGACGTGTCAAGGAAAGAATTTAAATATATTTTCGATTTTGACGTACTTTGGACAGAGAAATGAATAATTTCCTTATTTTATAATCAAATTGCGCAATAAAAAACGTTTGCCTTGACATGGAGAGACTAATGAATGCCAAAGACTCGGTCCAACTAAAAGATTCCGCACAATTTTGAAGATATTTGAGTTTATGAAATATTCCCACGCACAAGTAGAAACACTAAGGCATTATGCAAATATCCCGGCTAATAAGCGGCTAAGTGGATAGCGGGAGATCTCACTATTTATATCTGTTGTTGACGTCACTAGTATATAACATGAAAAAAGAACCAAAAAATAAATAAAAATAATTAATAACTTAGGTATTTACAGGTTTAATTCAATTCAGTTTTGATGTTAATAATCTTGAATTCCATTCTACGTGACATTGGCGAAGTAATATGTGCTCATCTGGCACGCTTTGAAGCCATTGGCAAGAGAATTTAATTGAATTTAATCTCGTCATAGATTAATTTACGAAATAATGACAGTTAAATTAAAGATGTTTCAAGTGTGTATTTAATCACGTTCACGTTTGACGACACGTTTGGCTCAGTGTATAGTGACCCTACTTGCTGTGCTAGAGGTCGCGGGTTCGAGTCCCGCTGGGGGCATTCATTTGTGTGATAAGCACAAATATTTGTACTCCAGTCATGGGAGTTTTATATTTATGATATGTATGTATTAAAAAGTTATATATGTGTAGTGTATGAACTATCTGGTATCCATAACACAGGCCTCGTAGCTTACCATGGAACTAGATGGTGTTATGTGTTAGTGTCCCAACGTATTTAATCAGGGAAATTATTATCTTTTTATTAATGTCAATATGCTAGCGACGTCATCCTAGCTGCGTTTTTGTATGAAGACTCCCCACATTGATCGATGCTAGGTTTATTTTCCAAATATTTCTATTCTACACATTTCAGTTTTTCAAATAGACTAAAATGGACTTTTGTGCTGGTCGTTTTTTAAGATGTTTATCTAACATTGCTTTTATTTGAAAACATTTTTTCGAGGGCGGCCCTCATAGAAGTTTAAACAACATCGAAAAAATGTCCTAAGCTTCCGCATATTATTCCTTACGAGGACCAAAATTAATGTGAAAGTGCCTACGCTCTATAAACGATGAATGGTCTTCTGAGCATAGTTTTTTTTCTAAATTTTTCTGTACTCGTTCTTGCGTGACAGTGGTTTGAAGAAAGTTAGAACATCGAAAACTGTCTGTCTGTGGACCACATTCGTTTTCCAAAATAGGCAAAGGGGGCACTTCCATTTTTTTTGCATTGGGGCCTAAAAAGGATAGTTACGCCACTGCGTGTAAAACAATAAAACTGAAGTTTAGAAAGCTCTCAATTGCGGCTCTAAATACAACTACTATACGTTAGTAAACAATACCATTTCAGGCGTCAAATTTTGTATTCTAATTGCTCTGTTTGCATTTTTATATATAAGTTGCATTTGTATAGCATTTGCGTATAATATTTTATTTTCTAATATAATGTGATATTTAATTTTGTAACAACACAATGTTTTCTTTTAAATATTACGTTTGATGTTTAGGATTTTGTTTATTTTAAATCGACATTGACACTTAAATTTTGACGCTTCCAAATTCAATTTTTTTTCTGTAGGAAAAACTTTTTTGAGGCTCCGACTATAAAACTAACCTATAAATTAATTTAATATATTAATGGCATTATTTAATTAATAGCGTCCTGCGTCAACGATGTATTTATTAGCTTTATTCGCGATAATTCGCCTTATATTGTGTCATATCAAAGTATTTATAACAAAATTATTTAATTTAATATATATTTAAAAAAAGAACGTTGCAAATATGGCCTAATCCACACATTTGAAAGTCAATGAGAAGTCAAATTAATATTTTAGTTATTTCATCTATGTGTTCGATAAAAGTAGGATAATAATTATTTTTAAATTGCCGCCATTTTTGAATTGAAATATGCTGGAGAAGATCATATAGCATTGGATATAGAATTAATAATGGTAATGCCAAGTGTGCTATTTCGTCCGTGAACTTCTGAGATCTTCTATCTACTTACAAACAAATTTTATATAAAATTAATTTATTAATTAAAAAAAAAAACAATCGTGGAGAATTTTGGTAAAAAAAATAAGTTTACGTCTTTTTATGATATAATAAATTAAAGATAATAAAGTTTTTCGCAAAAATGCTACTTAGGCGGTATCAGATGTTCACGGACGATTTCAATATCTATTTAGAGTTTTTGAAGTGAAACTTCTTTAGATGCGCCATGAGAGGTTACGATTTTTGTTACGGAAACGGTTACGCTACGGAAAGGACCGTTACGTTACGGAAGTGAATAAATATTCAATTTAAAATTATTTAAACTATTATATGGATATTATCTAATATATAAAATTCTCGTGTCACAGTTTTCGTTGCCATACTCCTCCGAAACGGCTTGACCGATTTTGATGAAATTTTTTGTGCTTATCCGGTATCTATGAGAATCGGCCAACATCTATTTTTCATCCCCCTAAATGTTAGGGATAGTCCACCCCTAAATTTATTTTTTATTTTTTAGACAAAATTTTTAATTTCTATTTTTTTATGATACAACATACAAAAATACATACAATCCTCAATTTTTACTAGGGACGAACCGGAGCGGAGCGAGGGTGAGTCGCTAGTAAAGAATAAATTAAATAAAAATAGATATTTGCAAAAAAAAACTTGCTTCATTTATTTTTAAATAGCGATGGAATCGTATCAAATGAATGTTGTTAAAAAATTATTTACTTGAAATAATTTTATATGTACATTATAAATTTTTTTCACTAAAAAATTGGTACCTATGTATTATTTTTTATTTAATTGGAATATATTATAATTTATAATATTATTACAACATTTGATTAAATATTAAATTTTATCTTAACACTACCTGTACTATGTGAATAATAAAATTTTATTTTCCTTTTTAAATCGATAAAAGATTTTTTTTGTATCTCTCCTATCTTAATTATTTAAAATGTAAATTAAATTTCATTAAAAGTACCTATATCCTACAGAAGTTTCACTTCTTGCGCGTGTACAAAGATATTGATATTTGATACACGCACTCTATATCATTTTTTAAAGTAAGGTAATATTATGTGTTGTTCCATAACTGGACATGAGCTTACAAAGTTTTTTGTGAATCTGTTGGTGTTAGTAGATAAATAATTGCACATTTAGAATTATAGTGATCAATCAGAAAGGTATAGTTTTGTAAGCTTCTTTAATTTTTTTATGTTTGAATTTTTAATTGAATCTCCAAATTTAATCATAAATTATTATAAATTAAATTTAGAACGAAATATTATTTAATTGTAAATACAAAAACGGTATTTTACAGTCTCCATGTCACTTTACAATTTTCTATTTATCTAGTCTATCTTCCATGGTTTCATCTTTGGCTTAAATAAATCGAGTTTAAAATATCTATGGTCACTATGGGCGTTCATTTTGTACGAGACTCGAACCGGTAATTAATGAAATAAAACACAATGCCGTACCACTGTTTTGTAATCCATTCTCCACTTTAGATTACATCACTATAACTCTAAATGAGCAAAATGTTTTGAATGGTGCTTTCCTAAGACACTTACGGAAGTAGTCGTAGAATAGTTTAGTATTTGACGTTCTTATGTCGACGGCGTAAAGTTTGTTAGCTTTTTTAGAAAATCGCTATAGATGGATGATTAACGATTAGAACCGATAGTTCTTTTGAAATAAGGTATTATTTTGTTATTATAACAAAAAATAATTTTAATTAATATTAATTATTTGGCTGTTTGATTAACTACCTTTGCCTATTCAATTAAAAATATATTGCCTTTACGACATACAATTGTAATCGTCCATTTCTAGGTAAAAAGTAAAAAAAAATATGGCGTTAAGCCCAAATTCGAGGCCTTTAGCACGTGTGACGTTTTTACGCTTATTTGGAACGGTACTAACATTATTATTCATAATTTAAGAACATGTGTGTTTGTTGCTTTAAATAAATTATATGCTTATTGATAATATTTATGTGGGCTTTTGATATATAATAATAATGTGTCGGGATCAGATTTTATGTTGTGAAAAAAGAACAAAAAATATTTTTTTATATTATTATAAATTGATTTTAAGTTTTATAAGTTTATTTGGGGCTCAGGTTCTATATATCTGCTTAAGAAAAAAAAAGAATTATCCTTTCGTATCTTTTTTCTTCTTCTTCTTCTTGAAGTGCCATCTTCTTTCGAAGGTCACTTCATCATCATCATCGATCATTAAGGCAACTCGAATCTTTGATGCCGCGGTTCTGAATAAGGAACAGGTGCTTTTTCCAAACCATTGGCGTAGGTTTTTCAGCCAAGATGTTC